AAAAAACGTCTCCTTCAACACTTCCCGCTCGCCTACGAAGGTTCGTGCTGTAAACCAGGCATAACTAGTCAGATAAAACTATGGAGTCAATTCGGCTTCAATGATTGCTACCCAGAGTTCTTTTCGGTCCAGTCGCGTAGGCTTGAGTTGGTCGACAACATTTTTTTAATTGACTGTATATTTTTACCTCTCAGGACGACTTACAACTTACGTGACCAAGAAAACAAACTTTACATTCCCAAACCACGTACTGATTATTTAAAACGTGCATTCAGTTACAGTGGTGCTAAATTATGGAATGACATACCCCAGGAATTAAGAAAATCTGGTTCATTAGCTAGTTTTAAAAGTAAATTAAAAGCAGAAAAATTAAATTAAAAGCAGAAAATCGAAAGAATTCTTCGTGAACATTGTCATCCTTTTAGATGGTGCAATGTCTGTTAGACTTTCGAAAAGATATTTGTCCTTGTAAATCACACGCGCTAAAAATGTTGAGGGAAGGCAATCACGATTTTTTACCAGACAATACTTCAAGCAGCACACATGTACCTTGGGCATGACTTATCCCATATAAATCTCTTGCATGAGAATCAAATATTTTGAACCCCCCTATTATCATTACAATAGATAGCAACTGCAGTACTTCCTATTGTTGACACAAAATTGGTTTAGTTTTCAGCTATAAGTGATTCAAAGGCACTTTGCAAAGAAGTACAGTACTGATATCCTTCTATGGCAGCCTCTTGATGTATAGTACCAGTGTAGCTTTCACTGTATTGCAGTTCATAGTCAGTGTCAAACACATTTAGCATTGGTGGTAGTTCTGACTGCATTAAAAAGGACTGTCTGGCTAATTGAGATAAACTTGAATACAACTGATTTCCAATATCCATAATTAACATGAGGTCATTGGTAAAATTAACTCCTTGCTTGTTATTGTAAATCAAAGAGCACAAACTCATTCATTGCAACACTGTTGTCCTGAATTTTGTCCAAATACCAGTTCATTACCTTGGCTATATGGTGCTATTATTGTTTTGCTAGGGTCAATGTACATTGGAGCAGGACCAGGGTTCTTCTCTATGTCTGTACTCAGTTTAAATTTACAATAATTTGTTATATGGGTCTTAGTCTTGTAGAGACATCAAACTGTTACAAGATGATAAATACCGACTAGCTCTATGATATTTCAACTTCATTATCCCTTCATAAACCCTGCTAGAGCAATTAAACAAAAGCTTCTTTTCATATTGTGTGACTTTATTTAAGCTTATTCTCTTAGTATTCAGCTTACATTCATTTTTTGTAAGCTTTCTAACCTTCCATAACAATGAAGCTTGGAGGACTTCGGTATACTTGGACGAATACGTTTGAAGATAAACTCTCAGCTTTCTGCTTTTGTTTCTCAGACTTTTCAGAGTTCATACTGGTATTCTGCTGGGTTCACGATCACGTCTACGTAGGTTTACATGAAATAACTGATTTGGTATAGCATGATTATCGATAGATAGCTCATTTGATATAGCATGATTCACGATAAAAGGTTCACTCTCAAGCGTTCGCTCGTAATTTGATCATGATCTCTCGTAAACTTCGCGGACCGATCCGTTCCGAAAACGCTCGACATCTTTTAGTGTGGATCTACCGCGAAAAAATGTATGCATTTGTATGTGTTTTGAGCGCGTTAGACTCCATTGTATATGGAGTCTTAGTCAGCGACGAAACCTTGAAAAAATCCGCCATTGCTCGACCATGTGCTTATGTGGCGCATACTACGCACGCGCATAGAACGCAACTGCGATTTGTGACTGAACGCAAAAAAAGCCCAATTTATACCTCGGGCATTTCTTTGAAAGCCCGAGTAATAAAACACGGATGGACAGATCCAAGTGAGTAATTAATGATTTATTCGGTCTACTAACAAGCATTTTCCCCGTCACAAACCAAATATTCTCCTACAGCCATGGTGATACGTTGAATGTCCGGGAATCGTACTACCAGTAACTTGATAGCAGATTAACGTAAGTAACTTGAGAGCAGCTTTTTATTCAAATTTAACTTGTTAGTGTAACGCACGCCCTAGTAAATGGTAAGAAAGAGAGAAGGGCTGAAACAAGGGCGTGCGTTACACTGATACGTTACGTTAATCTGCTATCAAGTTACCGATAGTACGATTACCGGAAATTCAACGTATCAGCGTCTTGTTTCAAATCTCATTCTTATTCATATACAAATTCCAAAGCCGGGCTCCCTGTTTAACTACGAGTACTCTTACCATAATAACAAAACGAGTACGCTTTTTTCGCTCGTTCTTCATGCTAGTTTGTTGCTCGCTTTCCGGTAATATTGTAGCTATGTTATCTGCACTAAATAAAACAAAATAGAAAATGTCCTAACCTCTATCTTCACACTGTGGCGAATTCTTTTCTTCCATGACTTCTTCCATAATTTTTTGTTTCGTTTCTACAATTTTTACAACAAAATTATGGTTAAAAAGCTCGTAAAAAAGTCGTCATGGTCCAAGTGACGTGTGATTTGAAAGCCGACCAATCAGAAACGCGAGGTACACCGGGCGGGCGACACTTTTAGCGTTACGCACAGGGTTCCCATGCGATGACCACAAAACTTCAGGAGTTGGATAGTTTACCACATTCTATACCATTGTGCTCCGCTCGCGCGGCAGCTCCGCTATCAAGACAAATTTGGGGATGCCTCACCTCTTGGACTGCAGTATATAACAACCAAAACAGCCACCACTAACATACAAATGATGCCAAAACCAATGACTACGGTCTTGCCACCCCACTCTTTGCCTGTTGAGGAAATATCCTAAGTATTAATTATCAATATCAAAACAAATGTCAAGGTTGAGTAAGTGCAAGCAATAAACCCACCATCAACAGCTGTGCGCAACATCAACACTTTTTGGGTATAAATTCAACGTTGTATTTTGTAACGAAAGTAATCAGACATGCATGGACAACGATGAAAAGAAAAATATGACAAAATAGTTTTTTCGACTAAATATTGTAAATACAATGTTCTCAATGTTTTTGAGAATCCACCAAGGCGCATATGAAAGTACAACAAATATTTGATGAGTCATTCATTGTGTCCAATTTCAAGACAAATTTGGGATGCCTCACCTCTTGGTTTGCAGTATATAACAACCAACACTAATGTAACAATGATGCCAAAAGCAATGACTACGGTCTTGCCACCCCACTCTTTGCCTGTTGAGGAAATATCCTAAGTATTAATTATCAATTTCAAAACAAATGTCAAGGTTGAGTACATGCACCCAGTAAACCCATCCATAAGAGCGATAAAACTAAATTTTCAAAACAAAGTACAACAAAACCTTCACAGACCGAAAGAGCAGCTGAAATTGAAACACTCGGCCAAGATTCTAGCTAAAAGAAGTTTTAGTTACGGAGATACGAACGATTTGATTTTACCCAGAATTTAGTTGAAGTGTATGGATCCGTCACCTTTGTGTCCTATCGGAGGAGCCCAAAGATGGAGGCCAAAACACGAAAGTCGAAAATCTTGTTTATATTGCACGCACTTCAATATTTTAAATATTTTATTTCATAAAATTAACAATCATCTACTTAGATAAAAACGTATTATTTCACTAAAATTTATCTTCCAGATCCCTAAGCGAAGCTAAGACAGAATTGCCGAAGAAAGGGCTCAATTTTGCAATAACTCCTACTCGGATTCCAGCGGCAGAGATTATTGCTAAAATTGAATTCTTCCTCAAGCATGTTAAGGCCTGGGTTATGCACCAATTCTCTCCATTAAAAAATAATTTCTCTGGTGTTTCTTCTCAAAGTATAACCAGCTTTCTCAAACTTTCTTAGATCGTGGTTCTTTACAAGTTGGTTCCAATAAACGGGAAAAATTTAGGTCACGTGACCATGAAAGTTTCAGAAACTTTCATAAAATTTCATTTTAATAGTAGGTGCTCAATTAAAGTCGTTCAATTGACGTTGAGAATGGTTGGCTAACGTTTTGTGTTAAGAAGATATTTGACAAAACTGGTCACGTGACCTGTCAAAAATATCCTTTATGCCCATCTTTCTCCTTTCGTAAACATTTTGGTCGACCAACTTGGAACTTGGGTGCCTTACAGCCGCCCTCCACAGACTTCAGGCAGATAACACCCTACCATCTCGGAACATCTATGAACAACAAGAGGGTGCGGCTATGGGTAGTCCGGTCTCTGCTGTCATTGCCAACTTATTCATGGAAGTCTTTGAAGGACAAGCCCTACAGTCTTGTGATCCTGAGTTCCTACTATACCAAGAGTTTGGAAGCGCTACGTCGAAGATATCTTTTTTCATCACCAACAAGTAAGTGTAGACAGCCTACTTTAGTTCCTTAACAGCATCCGTTTTACCATGGAAACCGAAATCGACAACAAGATCGCCTTTCTCGACACCATAGTACACAGGGAACCTAACGGCCGCCTCGCCACCAGCGTCTACAGGAAAGCCACCCACACAGACCAATACCTTGCGTACGACTCACACCATCCACAGTCGTTAAAACGCGGTGTTGTTAAAAGTGTTTGTCACGCATTTTCATAGCATTCGAAATTGGGAAATTGGATTGGAATAATACGCTTTTAACTGAGTAGATGATTGGCAACTTAATTTTTATGATGATTGTTATTGAACATTTGAAATGTTTATTTTCAACCTTCATGATTTGACCGCCATATTGGTGTCGCTCAATGAGACAAAAAGATGGCGGACCCATACATTTCAACTAAATTATGGCCATAATCAATTGCTTGTATCTTCGAATCTAAAACTTCTTTTAGCTAGATTTTTGGTTGAGTTATATATATTTTGGCTACTCTTTCGGCCTGTAGAAGTTTAGTTTTATATAAATCCTGGCAAAATTTTTGATGACGTAGGTGCAAATCAAGAATATAAGAGACACACTAGCAGTTTGCAGTCGAAACGTCGCGGTCAATCAATCGTGAGACAAATGAATGAGTATCATTTATTACTTTTCCACGATGAATAATATTTTTCATTCTATTAGAATTTCCCTTTTTCTAATGCTTTGAAAATGCATGACAATGATTGCGTTATAGAATTTGATTCGCGATTAAGTCTAAGACCGAACTTCGAACATACAAAATTATTTTGGTAAAGCTTTTCTTTTAACGGCGTAAACAAAATATTCAACAAACAGTTTCGTGGAGTGAATATTTTAGATTTTAGTTTTTCCATTACGTCAAGGCAACAATGGGCCATTTTGCTGCGCATGCACGCCATACCTGAGCTCATGTGTACTGTATAGAACAGTAGGAACTTGTTAATAAAGCGAATCACCGTAAGAAGCTTCAATTAACTATGGTTTTACTGAAGAAATAAGACTATTTGATGCCAGCTTTGCTATAAAGGTGACTGTTATGTTATTCTTTTTTTTATTACGATGTCATGTGTATAAATCGCCTGCAATGACATGCGAAAATATTTGCCTTTCTTTCATATCATATATTCATAATTTGAGCTTTTCGGCGTTTTTCTCCTTGAAATATTTGTAAAAGTATTGAAAATACCACTGTACTGCAAGCAAAAATGATAACATCTAAATGTGTTTATTGTGTTTTGCTTATGGATCTTTGACTGGAAAATTCGGGAATTATATTTTTTGCCCATCAATGTTGTAAACATTGTTTGAATAGTCATTTATAAATTGGTCAAACGTTCTGTAATTTCAAATGCTCGAGCCGAAATAATGCATATTTTAGTTATATGTTTCCTTGCCGGTAAAGGGATTCTCGATATCCCAGCCAATTTTATATCTTATATTTTATATTTTATATTGTATATCTGTTTGTCTTTATTCTCAAGTGTTTTTCTGACTTGTGAGAGAAACTACCACACAAAATTCATTTGATGTGATGTCTTTGTTATCTGTGCTTTCGACCTATCGTGTTTGATTAGTTAGAAAAATTGAGGAAAATAGAGCAATTATCACTTATCTGCAAGGGCATAGTCTTGCTTTGCCTATGAATAAATCATATGTCTAGAGCTATTATTCAAAAATCGTTTCTTTGAGAACATTTTTTAGCCGATTTTACATGTAGCTGATTAGTTACTGTGAAAATTATAAGAAAGAGAAATAAATAAATCGAACACCGAGACATCTTGCTACAAGCTAAATGCGTGGGTACCCTGTGTTGAGCCTGCATTACTATCTCACAGCACAGCAGTTCGCGCATGGTCATGCAAAATAGCCCCTTGTTCGTCAAGACACAGTTTATACAAACACACTTCGAGACAAGTATAAACATAGGTCGAAAAAATTGTATTTAAACAAGGATCATAATTTACCTTTTACAACAAGCTTTACGTTTCTCGTCTGACCAATTCCTGCAGTATTAATGGGTACACAGTCCAATTTGTTCTCTCCCTTGACATTGAGTGATAGAGTCACTGCAACACTTGTAATTTCACTTTTAATTGATTTGCCGTTAAGGAACAAAGAGATATGTGGTGGTGGGATACCATCAGCTTTGCATGTGACAATAACCTTATCTCCAAGACAGTAAGCGTTCTTTTCTGGCTTAATCTTTAATTCGGTAGAATGAGGTTTGACTGTATGGAAACATTAAAAATCTGGATTAAAAAATCAGAATGATGTGAAACTGAATGTAACTACTCTAAAAGATTACTCTGCGACAACAAGACCAAAACAAGTGAAAGACAAGTGCACAGGCGCCAAATCATCCAATTTATAACCGGTTTTTAACCGGGTAAATAGGCTCTGCTAGCAGGGAAGATATTCGTAATGATGATTACGTGCGAACGCACACTACAACGCTGATAGAGCTATCCTATTCAAATATCCAATTCAATAAAAATCTAACATATACATAACGGAGCATACCTAGTATAGTCAGAAGAATAACACCAGGATAAGTAGAAGCAACAGAATTAAATCCAACCATAGCTTTGTAACTTTTCATATCCGTAGCTCTGACTAAGTTCGCCATTGTGAATCGTATGGTCACAATAGGGAAACGCTGGAAGATGCTAAAGGTCATGTCTGATATACGACTGTTATAGCTTGGATTTTCGATGAGTGTTCCCCCTCTTCTCTTGAATGTCACTAGTTCCACCGTATTTGGTTCTTCTGCGTGGAAAATTTTGACAAAAGTCCAATGTTCGTTAACGTCAGAGTCTGTTAAGTTAATAGACCAAGCCAATGTCGYTGACTCTCCTTCTATGGCTGTTACTTCGTCTTTTGCTGACCACCAGACTTTGCGCATGCCACGTTCTAAGATTCAATATAAATAATTTTCTGGGTTAATAGATCGATGGCTACTTAGCTTTATCACTTACTTGTCTTTTAAACTTACCCCACTGCAAGTAGTACCCCAAAACCAAAACCAAAAGTAAAACCCAGACCGAAAAAACTGAAATGATGAGTCGCATCGCTGGTCGCATCGTGTCGTTGTTGCACTTTCAGTCTACGTTCTGGCAAAAAAAACTCGGAAATGTAAAGACTTTGGCAAAATGTTAGACATAAACTGGTGAAAGTAATCGAAAGTAAGCCCGTTTGAAAGAGAAATAGCCTTACATTATGCCTGAAAAAGTGAGTACTTGTGGACGAATTATGCTGAAATGCAGTTTCCTTCGTTTTACCTGGGCTACCTGTTAGAAGTCAGAATAGAATAGAATAGATACTTTATTTTCAAAGAACATACGTCGATGATTACAATAGATAATATAATAAAGATAAAATAATACTAATAGAAACAAATCAATTGCTATTAAAAAGACCTCTATTAATAAAACTTCTTTTAAAACGCTCAGTTCTAATATGCGGTAAAATACGGATGTCCCCTATCTCCTAAAGCCCTAGTTTTCCTAGGCGGTAATAAAACACTCAAAGGACTATCTGAAGCAACAACAACTTTCAAAGTCAACGAGGGGAGTGGTTAATGATAATGCATTTTATTTCTTTTTTTATTCAAATGCCATAAAATATAATTTATACATCCCTTTAACCTTGCAACCTTAGAAAAGATTGAAATTCAAAAAGAAAAGCGAAAAATATTTAAACATAAACATTGATTGTATTCCAGTTGCCCGAGTGAACGCTAGATTCAGATTTTAATAACAACTTAAAAATTTCTCGCGCACTGATTGGTTTTTTTTTTTTATCATCAATAAGAGGACAGACAGTTTAAGTTGACGTCAACGAGCGCGCGCTCTTTCCGTTAGTTGTTTTGATCAGTAAAAATGAGAAGTTTTTATCGTTTTTGTTATTGTAAAAAACAAATCAACTTCAGATTTTTATGTGTCTGTCGTAGTTGTACACAAAAATCTGATGTCAATTTGTTCAACGGCATTTGCATATATTAAATTATCAATGCAATCTATTGTTATGATAATCCCTGTCTTAAATACCCTCCGTATAAATTATCTACCACTCCTTGCAAGTAATCGGTCAAGAGCACAAAGTGTGCTTTGTAACCCTCCCGACCCACCCTCATAATCCGTGTTCGGTGATGACACTTTCTTCTTCAACGTCGGGTTCTTTTGCGAGTTTTCATCTGGTAAACCACTAGCAAGCAGGAAGGAGGCAAAAGCACCCGACAACATGACACTTGGCGTCGTATTTACATACGATCTGGAGTGTTTATCCCCATATCTAATTATCATAACAATGAAGAAGAGAATACTTTCGGATCCAAGGAGCACAGCTAGCGGCGTATGCCGAGGATAGCCGATGTTATCCGAAGTCCCGCGTACTGGCTGGTCAACTTGGCTGCTCTGTTTGCGACTTCTGACGACTTTTTATTGACTGGGAAACGTTTGACCAACGTTTCAAACCATGATTCGGTAGGATTCATTGATTTCTACGAGGTAATTGCAGCCATTTTTGTAGTGAAACTTAACTATTTTTTGGAACAAGCTAGGCACATAGGTTTCATCGAATATGTTAGTTTTGTTTCATTAAAGTGCTTTCAGGTATTTGCAATAATGAATAGCGAGAAAGAATTTATCACAAAAAAACGACCACTGAATTGGCGTGTTTGTGCTATACGAAGCATGTCAACAATGTCGCTTCATGAACGATTTTTACAGAACCGTTGCGATGTAAAGCTGAATCAGATTTTTTACGGTGACAGTATTTTAGCAATTTAAAGAGATAACTGAGCTCCGTAAACAGAATATTAAGTCCTGAATACCTGCAAGTGAATATTCTACATAAACATGATTCAAAAATGATGCTGTGTATCTATCAGCAGTAGACACATGTACTCATCAAGTACGTATTTTTTTCAGTTTTTCTAGCTTTGATGACATTTCGTCAAGCTTCAGTGAGTTTAATATATTTGATATAAAGTACAATATTAGTGTGGGTGGCATAAAGATTCCTCGTATTGCAGAATATGCTTCAACATATTTCTGTAACTTATAAGTTCGAAGAAGTTCGAGTTTATCTGTTAAAAAATAGCATGGATTATTAACAACAGAAAATGTTGTGTAAAGAATTGTCACGGATTGTAATACTTTGGTTGTCATTTTTCTTTGGAACTACAGGTTAAGAACGTTTCTCTTTATTGATATATGATAATTTATTTTTTTAAAACTTTTATTTTATATATAATTTTATATTCTTTTCGCCTACAGAAGGAGAGATAATATGGAGTGGTGCTTCGTCGATTACAGCCGTTCAAGGAGAGACCATCACAATGGCATGGATGGTTAATTTAACTTCTATTGATAGCAGTAAAATCTGGACTTACGCAAAAATTATCCAAGTTCAAGAAGGAAGGACTACAGAGTTAATGTCACTGCAGAAATCTGGGATTRAAATCATTGAAGATCAAAGATATCAGAGACGTGAATCAGACTTGAATTTGAATATTCCGCAAACTGGTGCAACTGTTACTATAAAGTTTACCATGAAACATTTGGTCAGATTGACGGATGAGAAACACTACAAAGCCATGTTGGGGTTTTCGTCCGATTCTTCGACATTTTCGGGCGCAACATCTCTTCTAATACTAGGTACTATTTGATGTCCAAATTTTTGCTCTTTATTTCTTTAACTCATCAGATAAGAAGCCTAATTTTCCCGAAACCTCATGTACATATATGCATAATTTATTCTTTATTCACTAAGATTTTAAACAAAGATTTAGATTCAAGCTTATATTGTTTAACTCAGTCAGTAACTATAAATAAAATCATTGAATTTCTGGCTACAAATTCACATAAAAAGATGGTATGCTCAAGATTGGGGACATGCCCTGGCAATAGGGTCTACCTTCATGTAAACAGGACCAAAGTAAGACCTGAATCTAAAAGGGAGTTTTATTGGCCATTCCCGAGGTCGAGTAAAAAAACTGTGTCGAGTTGACATTGCAGTGCATTGTGGGACTGTTGTTTTGGGAGACATATATTTCCAAGATGGCGTCTATTTTGTTTCCCAAAACAATCCCACAATGCATTGCAAAGCCAACTCGACTCAGTTTTTCCTTAATCATGGAATGGCTCATTGCAATTGTCTTTCGATCGTTAGAACATTTTACTTTTAGTAATACGAAAAAAGTGCACTAACACCATTTAGACGAAGACTATAAATTGGAATTGAAAACCCCCAAAATACGCTAAATGGCTAAAATGTTTCATGTACTTTCAGCTTTGTTTTTTCTTTCATGAACAAATTCATTTTCTTTTTACCCGGCAGACAAAGTCAAAAGTTGCAAGTGGACAAAGCAAGAGTCTTCGAATCTTTAAAAGGTAGATTACCCACATGAAATGATGAGTGGATGGATGAATGGATGGATGGATGGGTGAGTAGGATGGGATGGGATATTTTCACTCAGGCCAAAAATAATTTTTATATAGTCATTATCGAAGGTCACACTGCGAAAAAATTTTTTTCATTACATAGCCATGATATAACGCGCGCTCTGATTGGTTAACTAGAGTGCGCGAGCGTGCATCCAGAAATGGATGGTGCACGCTGACGTGATTGAGTAGCGCGCGCCAAATATTGAAGATTTCGTTTTAACAAAATTTGAATTTTTTTTGATAAACAAATATTTTTAAAACGGTTTTTTGACCATTCCTTATTTGGTTTATAAACATATTCTAAACGTTTGCTGCTTCTGATAACTGGGTATATTTTGCCGTTCTTTGAGTCGTTTCGAGGCATTCTTAACTTGTTGATGTTCATTAAAAGTCTTCAAAAAAATTCAAAAGATTTTTAATGTTTTGAAACAAGAGAAAATGAACTAAGAGAAGAAATCCCCCTATATTGCCTTGTAACCATCATGTGCACAGTTTGATGCTATTCTTAAACCATTTGTTTTTCTGCACGCGCATTTACTGCGCGCGCTCTACGCTGTTTGCTTACGTTTTTGGGGTTTTTCCGTTATGTCGACTCTGTCCTGAATATGAATGTGCACGTCAAAAGCTTTTCAAATACGACAGGAAATTGAAGTAGTAATTTGTTCAAATTTCTGGAGTATATATTTCCAAAGCTTTCGACCTACATCGTCATCTTGAGGGCAGATTTGACCATTTGAACATAAGAAAACACAAGAAAACGTTAGCAAACAGCGTAGAGCGCGCGCGTACTATGCGCGTGCAGAAAATCAAACGATCGAATAAATGATATTGGATGATAATTTTAGAATATTCTAAAAATAGCATCAAAGTGTGCACATGATGGGGCACGGGGATTCCTTCTCTTAGTTCATATTCTCTTGTTTGAAATGAAAAATTATTATAATGAAATGCTTTATTGCGAGGTCGAATACCAATCTCGTTCAATACTTCGTTGTTTCATACAATGCCATCAACAGTCAACCAGCTTCGAAGCAAACTTATGAAATTCAGGTACTTTCCTTCGAGTCTCAAGTCTCAAGTTTATTCACACACAATAAATACAATTACAAATTATAATTCACAAAATTAATTTACATAATTTTTCTAATACTTGATAAATAAGTAGTCAAAGCTATTATATGTGTGTGGCTTTGACTAAACGTTGTCGTTGATCGGATCATCCCTACGCACCTAGACCGAAAAGGATAACGGGTAAATTACCCAGAACTTGCGTCATCCAAACTGCTCGCCAGTTTAAATCTTCGCCGTATGCTCGGGGCATGGTTTTAGCAAATTAAATGGGATCGAAAAAAGCGAGCTCAAGGTGTGTTAGATAACATATGCGGCAGCCAGTAACTGTGAATTAATTATCCGCATGATCCTTTTCGGTCTAGGCGTGTAGGGATGAAGCCGATCAAACGACAACGTTTAGTCAAAGGACTGTAAGCTTTCGAGTCAACAGCCACCTACTCAAACAATTAATTTACAAATACACTGAACAAGGGGACAATAAACTATTTTATAGATATAAATTGACATTTAGAGAGAATTCTTTTCGTATTCAAGCAGTGAGCGCCAAAAATTATTTTCTTGAAGAAAGGCTGTTGTACAAGGCTAAAATCTTGTTATTCAGAAAGTTTAACTTCTTTGGAAGTGGGATGACCGATGAAAGTGGAATCAAAGCGTTAACCCAAAGCAAAACATTCATTCGAAAATGAGGTTTAGGCCTTCATTTGCTTATTTCCCATATATTTTCTATAAAAAAGCCCGACAAAGCAACAAAACGTCTTTGTACAATTGAAATTACCGCTTCAAACAGGCATTTTATCATAGTACATCAGTTTCTAACTGTTAAAAAAGGTTTTGAGTGTTAACCCAAAATGAAAATTGGGATCAAAACTCATACGAAAGTCTAGTTTTTGGCGCTTTTTCCAGATTATTGCTCATTATTGAAAAAAATTTCTTAATATATAAAGCTATATGTATGTAAATGGATATAGATAAGATATAATGTGAATCTATAGATAACTCAATTGAGATCATATCTGAGATTCGACATATGCATCGTAAACAACTAATACCAATAGCGAAGAAAGTTAAATCCAGCAAACTTCCGAGGTTCTTATTCCTGCAGTGGGCAACAAAACTGAACCACAGAATGAGAGTTTTGAAGAATTACAATCCTTTGGGTCGATCAACGAGACTACCGCGTAAAGAGTGCATCAACTTAGAATCAAAGACCGAAACCAAGGAACGACCCAAAGTCATTGTATGCAGTTTCCAGGTCGTTGAGAACATAGAGACAAGGATACACATCTATAACGAGTCCACAGGGGTGAGGAGCGCGCATTGGTTTCATCAATCAAGGCAGTCTCTTTCATGTCTTTTTTCTGTCCCGTCATAGAACATAGAGACAACGACACATCTAACAAGTGCACAGAGGTGAGGAGCGCGCATTGGCCTCATCGATCAAGACAGTCTCTTTTTATGTCTTTGTTCTATCTCATAGAATATAGAGAAAACGATACACATCTAACAAGTGCAAAAGGGTAAGGAGCGCGCATTGGCCTCATCAATCAAGGCAGCCCCTTTCATGTCTTTGTTCTGTCTCGTCATAGAGAACATAGAGACAACGACACATCTTACAATTGCACAAGGGTGAGGAGCGCG